TTACGGCAATATCTCGTTGAAGAACCGGTTCACGTTTAATCGATCACCGAAGTTAAGCAGCGTTGATCCTGATCCTTAGTAGAAGTACTGAGATGGGTGACCGCTTGGCAATACCAGGAGCTGTAAGCTTGCATGTGCCGTAGGTGTTAGAGATAACGGTTCGCAAAAGAGAAATCGAAGAGCTGAGTTCGAATTCCAGCCCAGGTCGTTGCAACGAAGGGAAAGGTATGAATCTGCCTCTTCTCCCTGCAGCTGTGATAAACTGTTGGCGTAAATATATATATATATATATATATATATATATATATATATATATATATATATATATATATATATATATATAGAATATATATATAGAGATTATATTATATATATATATATATATATATAAATATATATATATATATATATATATATATATATATAGAATATTGAGAATATATATATATATATATATATATATATATATAATCTCCTACTGACGCTAATTCAGTCGGGTTTCGATGCAAGGTAGAGGCAACCGGGCGTCTAGCCACACTGAAAAGCTGTGGATCAGCGAAACAGTCTGTCTGTGGATGACATTATATAGACTCCTGAAAATTAATTTCGGTTGAGCTCTCTTGGGAGGAAGTGTGGGTTTGTAAACAGTGACCATTATGGCTGATATAGAGAGACCCTTCGGCAAAAGCGAATTGAGTCATGTCGGTCACTGTGTGTTTAGCTAAAAATAAATACGCTAAAATTAACAGTTAACCCTAGACTTGAACAGGTTAAAATTGTAGTGATCAGGGAAGCATCCTCCTGGGAGTCGGTTCCACAATGTAAGAGGTAAGAAGCACAGTTTATGAGGATATGTGGGGAAGATAACGGTTAACCCTAGACTTGAACGGATTAAGATTGTAATGATCGGGGAAGCATCCTCTTGGGCGTCGGTTCCACAAAGTAAGAGGTAAGAAGCACGGTTTATGAGGATATGTGGGGAAGATAACGGTTAACCCTAGACTTGAGCAGGTTAAGATTGTAGTGATCGGGGAAGCATCCTCTTGGGAGTCGGTTCCACAAAATAAGAGGTAAGAAGCACAGTTTATGAGGATATGTAGGGAAGATAACGGTAAACCCGAGACTTTAACAAGTTGAATTTTTTTTCTTTCTTTTTTATTTGTCTACTCAAATATAATATTGTAACGCGATGTACACATTAGCAGCACTAATTGAGTGTTTCCTCTATATACACTACAATTTCAAAGTTTGAACTCACCCCGCGAATTATTATGGAATGACTTAGACAGAAGAGTGAAAAAAATGAAAAAGAACTCTTGAAAAAATAATGTTTACTGATATATATATATATATATATATATATATATATATATTAAAGTTTAAAAGTTTGAAGCGACCTCCAGAATTAACATGGGTTGAACCTGATGGAGGAGTGAAAAATTGAAAAAGAACTCTCAGAGTCATTGAATAAAGAATGGAATCAATTATCAAACTTATACTTTGCGAAACATTTGCAACGAATGCCAAAAATTTGTTCTGCAGTAATCAAGGCTAAAGGCGTATATTTTGACGAGAGCAAAATTTAATCATAAAATGTTTTTTCTTCTTTCTGTCAATACAATTTCTAATAAAATGTCAGGTCTCATATTTTTAACGATGTATTTTCTCTTATTTAAAATACGCAACAACTGCTTTTGGGGCCAATTTTAAAATATCCAAGGGTTGTCTCAAACTTTTGAACTGTAATGTATTTATGTATATAAGTATATGTATATTCTTTTATTAGTACGCTGGAAGAGTGTATTTTTCAGTTACTAATTTTCAAAAACAATTGTCCAGCAATTTCGTAACAAACCTCTCGGAGGTCGATAACTTTTAGAATCCTCTCATATGAGTAAATCCAAACTATACAAATTGTCAACACAATAAGACCTATCATGTATGTTACTTGAATTATGACCTCCTTGGGGTGACCTTCATTGCACGAACGGTTGCGTTGTCCGGGACAGTCTGTATTTGTTTGTTTCATTGTAAGGTTCGGTATTTTTTTTTTTTTCCGATGTTTACATTGCATTCATTTCTGACCCGGAAATCCTCACGGGCTCCGTGCTGTTGAATTGAGAAAAATAGAAAGGATTTATCATTTCCTATTTGGCATGTTTGTTACAAAATTGTTTGTACAGAGTTTTTTGAAACTTAATCACTGATAAACACTTTTTTCCCAGACACGAATGAAATATAATATACACGCACACACACACACACGCACAGACACACACATATATATATATATATATATATATATATATATATATATATATATATATATATATTTAACCGATAGTCTTCAGTTTTTCCGATGTACAGAACATTTCTTCCAAAGGTAGTTTAAATTTTAACCAACACACAGACACACACACACACATATATATATATACATATACATATATATAAGTTATGTTTGTATTCATATATATATATATATATATATATATATATATATATCATTTATATATTTATATATATATATAAGTTATGTTTGTATTGATTTCATATATATATATATATATCATTTATATATTTATATATCTAAGTTATCTTTGTATTCATATATATATATATAATTTATATATATATATATATATATATATCATTTATATATTTAGATATATATATAAGTTGTCTTTGTATTAATTTCTATCTAATATTGCCCACGAATATCTGAATAAGCGTTGGACGAAAAGCGTTAGATATGACTTCGACTTTATTTAAAGCTATATATATATATATATATTATATATATATATATATATATATATATATATATATATATATATCTTAATAGAATTCTCGAGGTTTTTATAACACTATTAGGCTTTACTTTGAGCAATAAGAATGTATAATTACTTTATAACCATTAATTAATCATAGATAAGTATTGGAAGATGATAAATGACTGAAATCATTATGCATTTATATATATATATATATATATATATATATATATATATATATAGATAGATAGATAGATAGATAGATAGATATACTTAAATTACGAAAAACTTGGTAATCCGTATGGGTAGTCCCAAGGAGGATGAAATTCTGAGAGCTCAATGTAAATTCAGAGCTAATAATTTAAAGAAAAACAGATCACTTTAAGGCTCCATTGTAATAGTTTATTTCACCAGAGACCTTTTAAAGGACGCTGGATCATGAGACATCACTTCCAAAAGGTGAAACGATAAATGAAATGAAAGTTTACACTTTTGACGGGTAGTATTAAGTTTGCGTAATTTAACAGAAATAAACCCTCTCTAAACTCGAGCATGTCTCTCACATCACTCCCCGCTACCCTCTCTGTTAAATTACATAAATTTAATACTACCCGTCAAAAATGTAAATATTTCATTTATCGTTTCACCTTTTGGAAGTAATGTCTGCTGATCCAGCGTCCTTTAAAAGGGCTCTGGTGAAATAAATTATTACAATGGAACCTTAAAATAGTCTGTTTTTCTTTAATATATATATATGTATATGTGTGTGTGCACACACACACACACACACACACACACACACACACACACACACACATATATATATATATATATATATATATATATATATATATATATATATATATATATATGTTATTCCAGGTTTATTTTCAAACTTATTCAAGATTATCTTATCTTTGCCTTCGTTAACCTTCTAACTTTCTGTCCTGGAGTAAAAAAAAGTGCCCCACACGTTTCACGTACGATTTCATTTTCAAGTTTTTTTTCATTGCTCTTAACACTATCAGAGCTGAAACTCCTCTTTCACGTGCCAAACATCTTGTGGATTGAGTTGGATCATTTCTAATTCATCTCTTTAGCTCGAATTTGAAATGATGATCCACCTGATCCAGTTTTCCTCTCGACTGTTCCCTCTTTTTTTTTTAAACTTATTCACTGTTCTCTTAATGGTTCTTGAATGGACTTTGAAGATGGGAGCCCGAGTATGCATGTTGGTACCATTTCTGTCGGTCGGAATGATTTTTTTTTCTAGCCATTGCTCAGTTGGGAAGAAGATTTTAACCTGTCCTCTGTCTAGCTAAATAACTCAAATCGGTTTTTCAGTAATTCTTACAAAAAATGGTGTCAAGATGGCGAATTGTCTTATCTAAACACCTGAACAACAAAAAAAAAAAAAAAATACTTTAGTGTTTTTTAGATATTAAACATCTTGTGGAATGGATAATTATGCTGTCACACGATTTGGACAATTTTGCTGTTACACCCGGTATATATTCCTCTTTTCCATCATATATATATATATATATATATTGTGGGATGAATAATTATGCTGTTGATTTGGACAATTTTGCTGTTCGGTATATATCCCGTTGTTATTCATCATTATCCATCCCTAATATATATATATATATATATATATATATATATATATATATATATATATATGAAGAAATATACTTTAAGGTGTGCTATATTTATAGAATAGAGTGCTCAATAACAGAGATAGAGCGTATGTAAATATAAAAGTGAACATTGAAGTCAACACTCAGCGGCGACAGGCTGTTTCATACTATACGCAATTGTCTGTCCTGATGATTATGTAAAAAAAGAAAGAGTCCGTCTGAGTGTTGACTTCAATGTTACATTTCACATATATATATATATATATATATATATATATATATATATATATATATGAATAGTGGTACTTTTTAAAAAAGCCTTAGGTATTTCGGCTTGTAGTTGAACAAACCAATGCCCAAGGGAAAATAAGGGATAAAAAAGAAAGAACTAAGAGCATGAAATTGAGGCGAAACCAATCGTCCAGAATTCTAGCTCAGGGTCCAAAGAAAAAAACCTCCAAAACGAGTAAAGCAAAAGTAACTATGTAAAGTGCTCAATACGCTAAGTAGAACAAACCTAAATATGAACCTAAAGAGCCAAGTAAACCTACCTACCCTGACGATCCGTGTAGGTGAAACATAGGTAGCTTTACCTAGCTCTTTAGGTTCGTATATATATATATATATATATATATATATATGTATATATGTGTTTGTGTGTGTGTATGTGTTTGTGTGTGTGTGTGTGCATGCATGTACATAAGTAATAC